CAGCAGGGGAAGATGGCAGTTGGAACTCACTTTCTCAATTTGAATCTGATGATTATCCCTTGAATTTGACTTGTGTTTATTCTAATTTTTATTAGAATGTTCAGATTTTCTAAGTGATTTTAGAGTAATTAAATCCTCACATTTGAAGTAAAAAGACTTGCAACCCTCCATGCTGTGACCTCGTTGTCTGATTGAAAAATGGACTGGAAAACTGATGGATTTATTCATAAGGAACTAGGTACAATTTAAAAAAAATGTTTCATATAGTATTTGTAAGTTTTTTGCATAAAAAAAATTTGGTGTTGCTGGATTAGAAAGAATCTTAGGTATTCTGCCCATAGAGGGAAGATCAGTTTAAGGATTAAACATATCTCAAGTTTTTTCAGCTTTCACTCCACCTGGCGTGCCTTTTGATGTGTGAAGCCTATCTGTTTGGGAGCATTTGACATACTTACGTTCTACTTTGTATTTCAGCAGTATTTCTGGATATGTGACAGCACATATGGACCAGCTAGTAGCTTGTTTTAACTTTCTTACAATGAATACTAACAGCTAAGCAACACTTCCTTGATGCGTTTGAAACTAATAATATGCTGTTGAACTTGTGCTTAAAGTGTTTTTGTTCCTGTTTTAGTAGGAAAGAAAATGTAAGGTGAATGAGGCTGATTCATCTAATCTTTGTTGCTTCCCATCACAGATCTGTGAACACTTTTATATGGCTTTGGTGGTGAAAGAAGTAGTTGGGTGGAAGTGTTGTACAGTGGTACAAGGAACAGGATTGAGCAATTGCTTATTTGTTGTATTTTTGTTAGATTACTTTTAAACAAGTCATTCCCTGGTAGGAGTGTGAGGTCAGAAACAGACATGGAGTGTGGCTGGGTGGAAAGCCAGGTGGTCCTTCTGGCATCAGCTGTAGCTTGTGCTGTTTTAGGTGGTTTATTAGCCTAAATTATCAGAATATATTCTAATAGTCTCTCAAAGTGTTGTTTCTGGAGATGTCAGGAGAGGAAGCTGACCTCCTTCTAGATAAACTGTTATCCTTGCTTATAATCCCATAGTTGTTGTCATAATGCTGTATACATGAAAAAACATTTGAGGACTGCAGATGCTAAAGAACGTCAAAACTGGAAAACTGGAACGTATCTGTGCAGTAGGTGAACAGGTATTCTTAGTGGAGCCCTGTCACTGCATGGTTTATTGGAATTCAGGTTCTGGAAAAAAGTGGACGTTTGACTTCATTCTGATGGCTGAAGAAATACAAATTGTATGTTTTCCTCTATAGACTAAAGATCTGGGGATATCAGCAGCATCTTCAAAATGAATCTGAAAACTTAAGGTTTCTGAAGAAACTGGGAAAAAGAGAGGAATTACAACAGAAATTGAAAACTGAATACAGTGAGCGCAAGGACTTTATACAGCTAGTCGTAATGCTTGTAAATTAGACCAAAGATCATTTAAAGCGATTGAGCTCAAAATGTCAAAGGTTAGGGGTTGCAGCTTTTGAGGGCTGAGGCTTTGCAGCTTTTGAGGCTTTTCTAGGTTAATTTGGCTGGAGTCTAGTAATAGACAAAGTGCAGAAAAAGCCAACAACTTTGTAAATAAACTACAGCGTACTACTATGTGAGAGTAAAATATACCTGACTGATTAAGGCGGGGACTTAAATCTTTTCTTTTACTAAATGCACATCTTTGGTTTTGAAGGATGAGTGTAATTTGATGGTATATGTGTGGGAACAGTGTTACTTCTGTTTCTTTTTGAAAGGACTCCGAGATATTCACCAATATATTTTTAATCTGGGGTGATAACCATGTTCTATTTTTTAAAACAACTGTTTTCATGTCATCTTATGTGAAAAAGTAGAACTATAAAAGCATGTAAAATAACAGGTTTGTGTAATGCTAGAGATTATAGATAGGTTTTCATCTCGCACTGACAAATGTCTGTCTTCATTTAAGATGTTAATATCTACACTGGGATCAGTGCCTTCCATGCAGATATCTGCATGTCATTGTGTGTATGGCCTTTATATGCTGAAGGTGTTTAAAGACTTTAAAGACTGACAGCTATTTTAACTTTCTCCAATTGCAGTTTTGATTTCAGTTGTTAAAGTACCTCAGTTTCCAGGTATTTGACAGCAAGAATCATTGATTTCCTTATTATGGGCAAGGAATCTGTTTCATTCTTAAATTTCAATATTAGTTCCCCTTTTGGTTTTTATATATGTACATGTATTTTTTATATACACACACACAAAAAGTGTATATATATATTTATATAAATACACATTTTCATGTTTTCTAGGTAAATGATAACTTGAACCTTGACCTGTCAGATGACGAAGAGCTGAGAGAACAGTTGGATATGCATTCTATCATTGTTTCCTGCATCAATGATGAACCACTCTTCACAGCAGAGCAGGTGAAATGTTCAACAAAGATAGTGTTGTTGGTGTAGTGTTTCCTTTAAGTCTGTAATTATTTTTTGTTCCTCTTCCTTGCTGTTCACCATAGCTAAGCTTCTTGATTGTTTGGTTGTTCTTAATTTAGAGTCATAATAATGTGTGAGATATTACTGCGTCATTCAGACTTGAAAAGTATTCAGATGCTTCGGATGAGGTTGATAGTCCAGGGTATTTGAAATCTTTGTGCACTTCTTACAATGAATTAGTCAGAAATACTACTAAATTAAATACATGTGTTAAGAAGCAAAAATATTTTCAGAATGTTGGTGGTATTGTAGAGTTTGTAACTTCACAGCATGACTGTATGGCCATTCGTATCTTCACGTGACTTTGTGGGTAGTGAGAATTCTTCTAAGTTTTTGTCTAATATGAGAGCAGATAATCAGTTCTGCTACTAAGCTTTCAAACTACTTAGTGTTTAAAGGCTTCTGTTCCAAATCCATGGATTTACTTAAGTTATCTTGAAAATTGCACTTCTGAGTAAGGTTAATGATCATCCACTAACACCCTGCTTTAGTAAGCAAATGCAAGAATGTATTTTCTTGTTGTTTAAGTGGTTACCTGTGAACTCTGAACATGGTTATTAAGAGTACGAGAGACAGGATTGCTTGAACTGCCTCAGCTCTTTTTTTACTGTGAGGTTGATCTCAGCACTGTCTACAGCCTTTAAACCTGTAAGAGTTGAAGTGTTAGTTATTTCACCTGTTAATAATTTAGCCTGTAGAAATATGGTAATTTCTATACTGAAAAAGAGCTTTTTTTTTTTGCTTAGAAAAGTGTAGTGAAATGGAGGGTGGGGAGGTAATTGATTTTTGTTGTTGTTTTGCTTTCCTTCAAGTGAATACTTAGGAAAGATATTCCCGCTCACTCTTCAGTTCTCTTAAGCAGATCCATGTGTACCTTCATATAGAAATAACTGTGTAGTTTCAACATCCTGCTTGTTAGGAGATCACCAATGTTCCTTGAAAAGGTAGGCTTATTCTCAGAGAGCAAGGATGGGGAGGAAATGTCAGTATGATTTTGTTGGTTCTCTTCCATCCAGTCTTGGTATTAATTTCATCCAGCAACATCTTCACTAACTGAAACAAAAAAAAACCCTTAAGCACTTAACAGCAAATTGCAGGCTGTTTCTCTTCGTGCAGGAGGGCTTTCATAACGGTGTTCATTTTTTGAAGGTGATTGAAGAAATAGAGGAAATGATGCAAGAATCACCTGATCCAGAAGATGATGAAACGCCCACCCAATCAGATCGGCTTTCCATACTTTCACAGGAAATTCAGACACTCAAGAGATCCAGTACGAACAACAGTTATGAAGAGAGTAAGTGACATTTATTTAGTATTTTGCTCTTACACTTACTCAAAATAGTTTAAAGGGTAAGTCTGCCATGTGTATGATTTATAGCAAGTCCTTCTTATGAAATATCTGCATTCAAAAATATTTTCAAAATGCCCTGAAAGAATAAACTAGATTTAGAAGATAAATAGAAGATTTATCTTTGCCAGCTTCAATAACTTAGAATAAAAATAAAACTTTATAGAATTTCAACTTAAAGCAAATACGCTGAAGCTTGATTAACTGGAATGAGGTCTGTTCATAGGTAAAGTGATAAGTCGATCATTTTATTAAACTTTATTAATTTTTATATTTTGAAGTGAGACGCTTTCTTGAGGCCAATACACTGTGTTTAAGAAGATTAGCTAAAGCTCTTGAAAGCTATGCAGTAAAAAAAGAAAATTATGTTTCTTTGGTAGTGTTTCAGTCACTGCAACATATCTTGATATACAGTTACATAAAAATAAGGCAACCGTTGCGCTTTTTTTCCCACGAGGACCTTGCATATTTTTCTCTCCTCCCCTTCCATTCATCATCAAAAAGCTTAAAAGTTAAAAAAAGATTGTATTTTCTTCTACTCCAATTAAATCATCTGTTCTTCCCTGTAGAAAAGGAAAGGAGAAATTACGTGCGTAGTTTTAATTGTAGTAGGTTGAATTGTATGTAAAAGAAACCTGTGATTAATCAGTTTCATGATGGAAATTTGTTTCATCTGCATACTTGTCAAAATCAATTCTGGAAGGTAATAGGAACACAAAGAATATTTGCTAGATGATCCTTCTACTTTGGTCCCTCTTACAAAGTTTATTGCTTTCTTTCCTGTAGTCTGGGTCAGCAATATAAATTCTGTAGAAGATTCGGAAAACTGGCTGACCTTTTGTGACATGATTTACAGTTTCTGCTACACTTACGATTTATGGAGGAGATCCCATTTTCATGGTTGGACTCTTAGCTGTCTCAATACATAAATTTCAGGAATGTGAAAGCAAAGTGTATCCTGCTCAGCAGGGCTTCCTGCTTTTCTGACAGTTCCATATGTCCTTAGGTTTGGAGCTAATCAAGCTTACTTGATATTTCATATCATATTTATTTTGTTTTGCCTCAGGAGTTCATCTTGTCTGTTCAATCTTTATGGTTTAAAGGTCAACCCGTACCAAACAATGCCTTGAGTTACTTTGGCAGATAATTTAACTTTGCATCACTAGTTTCTCAGGATCTGCTTTCATGTCTTTCAGGTCACTATTTTATGGAAAGCTCTTGCTACCTTTTTTGTGTGCAGAGCTGCTTCAGAATTAGTCCTCATCTCTCTGAAATTATTGTAGGGTTTTCCTAGAAACTATCTGGCTTTTGTAAGACAAGTCAGAGGTGTTAATGTTTAGGATTGAGAGCAGGAAATCGAAGCCTGTATTTACTTTTTTCTGGGATGGGAAAAGACATGTATTATGACAGTCCAAAAATGAAACCAGTTATAGCTCTGGTTATGCAGGTGAGTCCTTTAGCCTACATGTCTAAGATTTAATCTTTAAGTAGTCTTCTGCATTTGAATTACTCTGTCTTCACTCACCTGTGTCAGCTGAGTAGTTCCTATGTAGCCCTTTTGTAGGCTTTGATAATGACAACTGACCTATCATAAACAAGTCAGGATTGCAGTTGGGTAATCTGCACCTGTGTTTTTGGAACAATTGTCACGTAGGCTGTGAAGCTGGTTCTTCAGTGTTGGAACTCACTGGTGCGTTCTCTACTCTTTCACAAAACCTAAACAGTGGTGCAACCTATGCTTTTTAGCCTGTCCTTTGTACTGAATGCATATGGAACTTACCCATATTAATTTTTACCACAGAGTGTACTCAGTTTCGCAGACTGTAAGGCCTATTCTGTGACTTGCAGAACCCACAGAGCACCAGATAATCTTGTCTCTGAATTTACCTTTCTTCCCCCTGCTTATGTTTGAGTTGATGTTATTTGCTATTGCTGACAACCAGAGTTGACTTTGCAAAAACTTATTGCTGTGGTAAGACCTGCTGTGGTATGTTCAATGACTGTGAGCACAGCCAAGATCTGTGTTACAAGTAGAGGCCATAACCTGCATGCTACATACTTGGAATAGTTTAAACAACAACATAGGCGATGGATGGTTCAAACTACTTGAAAAACAGATCCTTAAGCATATGGTACTGCTACAGGGTTTGAAGAGAGTTTAAGGCCTAAGCTACTCCGAAAAACTGTGGCTCCTTGCTGGAGAGGTTTGCCTTAACAGGTTTCATTGCTTTTTCTTTAGTGAGTGAGTGACAAGGAGCTTTCTCCAGTCAGTTTTCCCTGCTGTAATTTAAGAGAGAAAAATCACATTTCACCTGTTACCTTTGATGCTTCTCAGAGCTATACTTTTTTTGTAGTTTGTGGCCTTATTTGTATTTTTCAACACTTGTCCATAGGCACTTTTCCTTATAACAACATTTACTAGACTAATTCAACGTAACCAAATAATTATGAACGTCTATGCAGTGTCCTTAAACAGATTGTACCCTTCGGTGTAACCAGGACTACTCATTTCTCAAATGCCAATGAAAATTATGTTCTTTGAGATAGCAACTGCTGGGACTTACTAGCTTCCTAGGTGTCAGACTTAACTGGGAATGGAAAGCAGTCCTCAAAGAACGTGCTCGCTTTTAACCCAAGCAAGCCTCAGAACTTTCTTCTTGGTCATAATTTCATTCTGTAACACATGGCCCAATAGTACCTTTAAAATGCGAACCTGGAGGGTTTTTTTGTTTCCAAACCAACATTTTACAGGTGTCTGATTTAGCTTTGACCAATTCAGTCTCATGCTTTCTCACCAACTATTAATGCCTATTTTTGATTGAAATGAGCCTGTCAGCTAATTTTGATCTAGGTCTTTGTTTCAGGCAAGTCAAGGCCATGCTTTTGACTACAATCCCCAAAGAAAATTGGGAGAATTTTGTTGGTTTTTCTACTAAATGCATCTAAAATATTATCATAAATGCTTGGTGCAAGCTTTTATTAATATGCATGCGTAACATAGCACTGTCCTCAAGAAGATTCCCTCCCCTATAGAGTATAGTTTCTATATTACTGTAGGTGAAAAATCCAAGGATTCCAGAAATGCCAAAGTGTTGGTTGTTTGGTCAGAAAATATGGAGACACATACTTACTTTGAACAGCGTGTGTGGGTGGGTGGAAAGTAATAGTTAACAGAGGTGTCAGAATTAGAAGTTTAGCGCTTACATCGGCTTCCTTAACTACAACGTGCTCTTTATATTTGCACATTTTCTCAGAAATAAGAAGAAAGTGTAACCATCTTCTTGTTGCTTATCAAGTTGTCTCAGTGATGTGTTTATTCCTGTAGGAATGTTGTTTTGTTCTGTGTAGCTTTAGAATTGAATTTTTTGTTTTGAAAAATTTCAGAGTACTTTTTTCTTGTAATTCTCTATTCTCATGCTTAAAATCTTGACAGATTGCTTTTTATGTGAACTATTTATAGGAGTAAAAAGATTGTCTGTTGCTGAGTTAAATGAACTGCTAGAAGAAATTGAGACTGCTATTAAGGATTATTCCGAGGAACTGGTACAGCAGTTGGCTCTACGAGATGAGTTAGAGTTTGAGAAGGAGGTGAAAAACAGCTTCATTTCTGTCCTCATTGAAGTACAAAACAAACAGAGAGAACACAAAGAAACGGCAAAGAAGAAAAAGAAGCAGAAAAATGGTAGTCCTCAGAATGGCAAACAAGAAAGAGGTCATATGCCTGGAACAGTAAGAAAATTTTTGTAACTATTTATACATTCAAAATATTTTTTGTTTTTTCCCTATGGGAAGTAGCAGTCCTAGATTATGTCAAGATACCTGGTACACCTGCTTCTGTGCCTTCATTCGCAGACAAGGCTTAGGCACTTCTATTGAGATTATTTTTTTACAAGGTCATATAACATTTTACTCTTAAACTCAAAAAAGAATTTTTTATTGTTTGTAAATTAGCCTGGAATCAGCATAGCTTTCTTGCAAAAAGTACTGTCTTTGGATATACTTCTGTGTGTTCTCTTGTCAGTAGGCAAACTCATTTATCTGGTTTCACTGTGAATTTTGGTATGTGTGTACCACTGTTACTCTTGCAGGAAGTTCAGTATTGTTGATGTAGTTTTACGGAGATTTATTTATCATACTGGAGTTTAGGTAGGAAAAAAGTAAAACTCTTACCCTAGATCTCTTGAAACCTGTGGCAGAGTTACTACGTCCAATGAGAGACAGGGATGAGGTCAAAGTGTAGTGCAGATGTACAGGGAGGAGATAATATGATTTATTCTTTACAGAACATAGCAACAAAAGGAAAAATGTCTTTCAAACAGAGTTTGAATAATAGCAGGCAGAGAATGAAAGTAATTGGATTATTATCTTGTCAATGCAATTTTTTCTTTCTTATCTGTCTAGTATAATTTTAAATTACTTAAGTGGGATATTAATGTTAGAATTTCTTAGTGTCTCTTACAGGATGTGGAAAATGTTGTTAATGTATTGTAGATCTCTGCTAAGTCCCAGAAAGAATGCTTCAGTTTGACATCAGAAAGTTTTGGGGTTTGTCTTTCAAACATAAGGAATAAACATTTGTAATGAAACATTAATTCTTCAGAATCTATTTCTAAACTTACAAGAATAAGATACCTGTGATATAACCCAAAAGGAGTTCTGATCTTGTCTGTGTAATGAAAAGTGTTTGTGTACATAGCTATGTTTTAATGGAACTCTAAGAAAGTATATGTCTGGAAAACAACTCAAAATTGTCATCCCTTTGCAAGAGCACAGTGAAAAGTTTAAATGTACTCCTTTTAGGTTCTCAGTCATGGGAAAAACAAAAAGTGGCATTCTAACTAGAAAGAAAAATAAATATTTGGTTTTGAAACTGAGTCAAGTAATTCATAAGCTACTCTCGCTAGTTTCAAGTTTAGAGACTTGAATGATATTTTCAAGTATAACTGCACATGCTCCCAATATAAGACACTTTTGTATTGTTTGCTTCAGGATATAAGTGTGTCAGATTGCTTTCGGAGAGAGGTTTAACAAACTAGCTCCCAAGTAAGACTGTAGGCTGCATATGTGTGGTTCCTTTGAAAATAGCTTTCGCTATCACCAAGTATGGATTTGAGAGCCTTCTTCCAGAAAGAGATGCAAGCTTCCTTCAACACTTCTTTTTTTTTCTTTTTAAAGTGCTGAGAATGTGCATACAGATAGTGCGTTCAAGTATCTTTGTGAAGAGTGAGTTTCTGTTAATTAATAATGTTTAATAATTTTATTAACTAGAATGAAGTCTCATTTAAATACAAAACTTGGAAGTAGGGTTAAGTTTTCATACTCTAAGAAAATCAATTCTTCTGTTGATATTATAATTGAATTTTAATATAGGTTTTAATTCTTTGTCCTTGATACAGTCTTTGGGTAAATCACTTTCTTGGACTTCTAAAACTTTAACCTGTCTCACAAGGGCAAACTGGGAGGTCATTAAAAACAGTCAGGGCTTGAAGATACCAGTTCCTTTAAGTAGGATATCTTAAAAGAGTTAAGATGGCTTTGGCAACATCTATGTCTATTTACTGACCTTGTTGTGCTTTAGAAAGCAAATGAATACTGTATTCCAGCACATTTTATTCCCCCTCCCATAAATAAATACATTCAGATAAGCATGCTGAGGTGTGTGCATCATACTGCCCTGTGTCAGCAGCTTTACAGCTGCTTCTTTTTATGTTCTTGTCAGTTGCTGATTTTTCTATCTCATGGTAAACTTCAAAATTATTTTGATTTTTTTTTTTTTTTTACTTCTCCAGCAAGCAAAAAGGATTACAAAGTTCAAGAAAAAAAAACTGTGGTTGGGTTGTATATTAATTTTCCTTTATTTGGATTCCATGATTCCATGTAATGGAGCTTGAAATTAATATGGGTGCATTATTAACTAATTATGTATATTTTATCATACTACAAAAAAAATGTGGAATACTAATTGTTGCTTCAGTTGTGGAAAAGGAAGCATGAAAGCATAAAATGTTTTAAAGAGGTAGAGCTGAAAAGTACTATATCTGAACAGTGTTTCTAATAGATGCTTAAAATCTCCAAAATTTGTATCGGCAGTGTCTCTAAACATATATTGCTCAAACAGGAATTTTAAAGGAGATTGTACTGTGAACTAAACTTTCAAAAATACTATTTTTTACGTTTCAAAATGAAACAGCTTTAAAAGGCAAGTTTTGATTATTGGGTCTGCAGTGTGAAGATTTTGTTTGATTAAATTTTTATGTAGATATACCACTTAACTGCCATTATAAGGTTTTCTTTCAATTATAAAAATGAAGTAGGTGAATGAAAAAATAGAAATGTGCTGAAATACATCTTAGAGCTTGTCTTTGTCATTCGTCTTTAATAATCTTTATAAATGCTGATTAATAGTCTTCTGAACTTTTATCTGTCCCTTTTTTTCTTTCTGCTATGTTTTCACTACTTTTAGCGCTTCAGCATGGAAGGGATCTCAAATGTCATACAGAATGGCCTCCGCCACACGTTTGGGAACTCGGGTGGAGAGAAACAGGTGCTGGGCTATCTTCTCTCTTCTCCTTATTCTTTGCCTGCACTTTTGGTAGGAGCTGAGATCTTGAAAATTGACAGTAGTTGAAGATAAATGCTGAGATAGGAAAAAATAGAACAAAAATGTTGGAATCTGTAC